CGCAACAGCTATATTTGGGGAAGCTGGTGTTAGTGCGGCAACTGGAGTAATGACTGTATGTATCAATATCCTGTTGTTTGATTTTTTTTTGGGTGTGTGTGGCATGTCTGCCCATCTTTGTGTCTTTCTCATATTGTGAATTTATGTTAAGTCAGTAAAATTATTAATCAGTTAACTTGTGGTTGTTCAGCACATGAATATAGCCAAGTGAAATGACGTATATACTTCATGCAATAAATATGCAAAACCAGTTAACGTTTCTTGAATGGTGCTAGGTTGCTATATTGCTTCTAACTGAGATCACTCCAAAGAGTATAGCTGTTCACAACTCCACAGAAATTGCCAGTTTTGTGGTAAGTTTTTTCTTTTCTTCCCCCATCATTTGGGTCTTTAAATTTCATTACCCGCTGGATGTGTGTAATACCCTAGCCCAAATGATAATTGGGCTAGATTATTACTAGCGCCAATTAGTTTTTTAAGAGATTAATTAGTAAAATAAAAGTGGCTGAGGTATTATACGAGAGAATACCTTGCCATCTTTGTTTATCGTACAATAAAGAAGAAAATGGGAGCTCTTTTTTTTCATCTTCCTTAGGGTTAGGGAGCTTGAACAATTAAGTTGGAGATTCGAAATCAAAGACTACAATCGAATTAATCTCGTAAAGGTGACTACATATCATCTTTTTATTTAAGAAAAATATAATGTTGGTTGCTATTATTTGGGATTGAAGTTATCGAAGAAAAATCAAGAAAATTTGTGAAATCTTTCATTAATCTTCATGATCTATTTGGATAAATTCTTAGGCTTTGTTTACTTCAAGTTATTAAGATTTAAGGATGATTATTGCGTGGATTTTAAAAGTTGAAAGTCGAGATTTGGATTTTTAAATGTTGAAGGAGAAATTCTGTTTTTGGATTAGATGTAATTATCTGCAACAATGAATTTAAATGATATTCTGTATTAATGGATAGCTTATTACTATAAGTATTATATACCGTTGAAAAGCTCATTGAATCTACTTTCCAATTAAATAAACGAAAGTTGATTCCGAGTTTTCTATGAAGAGTTATCTAATTTTTACTTAAAGATGTGAGGTTGCATGGCAGCAGCATTAGGGATGAATTACGAAAATTGTTTTAAAATTTATGGAAGGAATTACAGATTAAACCATATATGTTTGGAAAGCGTATTGAGTCTATTTTCTAACAAAACAAATGGAACTGAATTCTAAGTCTTCTATGAATAAATATTTAATTTTTACTAGAAGGTATACATGTTATCTGGCAGTAGCATATGACGTGGATTGCAAAAATTATTAAAATTAATATGCAAGGAATTATGTAATTAGTCATATATGGTTATCGAGCCTAGTTTCTAGCGCACTAAAAGATCTTAATTCTGAGTTGTATATCATGAGATATGATCGTTTTAGTGAAAGGAGCTCAGGTTACCAATATTAGTTAGTTAACTCATTTATAACTTAGTTGTTTTTAGTATAAATGGTCTCAAAAAGTGTTGATTGATTTATGATATGTTAAAATGATCTTGAATAGGCAGTTAATGACTTTTGGGAAAAAACTAAGTGGTGGAATTGAAAGTAGATAAGTAAAATTTCACACACTTTACTTATTTTTGAATCTATGTATATATGTATGTTTCTAAGTGAGTAAGTATTTTATTTCTTTATTTTCTATATATAAAAATAAGTCAAGCATATAATTATTTTGTGTTTTGCTATGTAAATGATGGATCATACTTATGAATGAAATGAGAAAAGTATTTATGCTTAAATAACAATTTTATGATATCTACAAAATTATATCCCTAGGAAGTAGTATCATTGACACTAGAACTAGTTCTTGGCCATGGCTAAAGGGTTATAATAGTTAGCATATCCATGATCGTATAGTCCTGGCTAATTGGCTGTAGTAGTTAGCATAAGATCTTAGCTAGTGGGTTATAATAGTTAATAGTGATCATAAGTACGAAATTGTCAATACGGCTAATGTCACGAGTTATAGCAGTGACCGTAACTAATGATTTGTGATGATTTTAAAGATTGATCCATAATTTGGTTTGATTATGATATTTGAATGGCAGTATATTTTGTAATGGTTTATGAATTGATATGTTTTTATATTGATTTATGATCTATGAAATGTTTGATGTAATGATGATTTGTGAAATGTTTTGACATTATGATTTGATGGTTGTTTTTGATTGATTCATATAGTATGCATGAAAATGATACTTGATCCTATAAAGTATATGAGCCTATAGTTGTTAGGCTATGGTTTGCTGATTCTCTTTTTTCTTTCTCTTTACAGATTAGTATGCATGAAAATGATACTTGATCCTATAAAGTATATGAGCCTATAGTTGTTAGGCTATGGTTTGCTGATTCTCTTTTTTCTTTCTCTTTACAGATTAGTAAGTGATAAGTTTCCTTAGTCTTGTGAAAAGCTAGAAAATCAAAATAAGAAAGATTACTTAGTCATTGCAGACAATGTTGGTAAGTAGAGTTTTATCCTTAGTTGAATTAAAAATATGGATTTTCCTTGGATGATTTATTTTATTAAAGAATTTAGAATGATTAAAAAAGAAAGCTTCATATTACTTTAGGGTTTTAATTCAAGGTAATATGGCCATATTGCATTTTGGTCTCAGGGCATGATAATATGTGTTAAAACAGCATAGCCTTTTTTCTTATCTTTCATTGTATATGCTTCGTGGCTCTCTTTGGACTTTGCCAAAGTGATCAGTACTATTTCAAAATTGGCTGACTAATTGTGGTTGCAATATTTCTAGGTCAGGCCAGTTGCATGGCTTTCTGTAATACTTATCCAGTGGGAAGAGTTTTCACATATCTATCAATGGGAATACTCAAAATTCTAGGTCTAAAAGGAAAAAGGGGAAGAAAGTAATTACCTACATTTAATCAATCTGCAATTTCTAACTCATCATGCATTTTCAGTGTAGTTTATATCCAATGGTTTGTCAAATTTTCAACATATGCCTTTATTGTTTTATATGTTTTCTGAATGCCTTGTCCCATGTCTAGTTAAATTTAGCAAACCTTATGTTACTGAAGATGAACAAAGCTAATGTTACGAGGGGCAGAGTTGTGTGGAGCAATAGAGAAGGAGCAGGTAACCGTATAAATCGCGTATTGCATAAGTTCATATGTATACCTCTGATTGAGCATTTGATTAACATATAATATTTTATCTGCAATATATATTTTCTTTTACCTTTTGTAGTATAACCCTAGATCAGTGGGTCTTTGTATGCATCCAAAATGAAATTTTCTTTCTTTCTTCTTTTATGTTTGTTTGGAAGAAAATGTCAGTGACACGTGCTTTATTATCTCCATGTCTTCTTGATGCGTATTTGTTGTTGGACTAATCTGTATGGAAAACCTTGTTCTCAGTGAACATCTCAAACTATGGTGATTGATACTAAGGTTGCAATTGCTGTTTCTTCTATCTGTCTGTACATGTGTGAAAGTTAAATGGAGCCCATCGTTGAAGTTTTTGGGTGGATTAAAGAGAATATATTAAAGGAAAAGTAGCTAGCATAAACAAACAAGTTTTCTTTTGTACATGCATGTATGAGACATCTATAATTCAATAAGTAGAATCAGCATACAGACAGTTCTAATGGTAACAAATTAAGTTTCAGATAGCAGTAAAATTATCAGAAATCAGATTTGGGAAAGTGATTTGTCTTCAAGTCCAATTAACTGACGTGAAGTTTGGGGTTCTGATGGTGGTGGATCCCATGTCCCTATTTGCCTTTTAGGTAGCTTAATTGATGGTGCATAGAACCTATTTCCAGCGTTCAGGTCTCCCCTTCTTCTTGGTCATCTCATCTTAATTTTGTCAACCGGTCAATGGGGTTCTGCAATTGGTGGATCCCTTGCCCCTGTTTGCTTTTTGGGTAGCTCAATTGATGGTGCAAAGAAACTAATTCCAACATTCAGGTCTCCCCTTCTTCTTAGTCATCTCATCTCAATTTTCTGAACCAGTCAATACTGCATCAATTAATTTTTTCAAGAAAATGAAAATATTTCTTTTCCATATTTTTGGTTCCCCAGTTTCCATTGGAGGCCAAATGAATTTAGGTAGAATATGGTATACAAAGATTATGACCCTTTTTGTTCTTTTTAATTTTGGATGGAATTGAAATTTTTTTACCTCTTTTAATACAATAAAGAAAGCAAAGTAAATAATGTATGATTAGACCAAAGTGTCCAAATCTTCCACATTGCTTTTAGATTAGTTTTGATTGGCGATGCAATTTCTAGGAAGCAAAACAAAGTCAATTGACATGGACAGGTCTTCCACTATTGATTGTCCCACTCTCATCTTTTCTCTGAAGGAGGTAGCACTCAGACTGCAAATTTATCACCCTTTAGATTAGTTTCAATATTTCAGTATTTTATCAACTGATGGTAACTTGTAAGAAAAAAAGAGTTTTTTTTTTTTTTTTCAAGTCATTAAAATGTCATTTTCCTTATACAGGTGATCAAGGTTTTTGGCTAAATGACCCATATTTATAGTGGTTACTCTATGACCTTTGTGTATATCCGTTAGTTATAAATTGTTTGGAATTTGGAAATGTTTAGCATTGCCATACTTTTTAGAGCTTCCCCAACTAAATTAGCTTTTTCTTTGCTTGGAATAAAAAGAGGAAAAAAAATTGCCAAAGAGCTAATTTGGTGTTACAAGTGGTGTCAATTAAATTGCCAAAAAGTGAAGCAGGCTTGATTTATGGGACATTAATTTTCAACATTCTAGGATCATAAAGAGTTTAAAAGGAAAAAGTTTCCAAACCACTTTCTTTAATTGGTGTAATTACATAATAGTATTTACTATTTTAATTTTTAGGCAAGAAAACTTTACGTAATTTATGTCTCAAAGTTTGCTGAGTGATACAGTTTTTTTCCTTTTTTTTTTTTTAATTTAAATTTGTGGCAGAAAAATGAAACTTCCCCTTAGTTTCAGTGCAATTAATTGAAAATGACACCCATTTAATTGCAAGCAAAATATTTTTCCATAATCTTGTGGAAAATATGTTCCTTTGCAGTGTCCCTGTTTAGCTTGATTGACGGTGCAAAGAAGCTAGGTCCACTATTAATTAACCTTCTTGATCATCTCACCTTTTGTCAATTAGGCGTAGTCAATACTGCAAGACTTTTTGTGGGTGCTAAGTGCATTTACCAGCTTTATTACAAGAAGACCTTTAGATCTTTTGGTCTCAATAGTTTACTATTAATTGTTTCTAAATGAGGATTATCATCATTCAAGTTTTATCCAACCGGAAACCAGAACTCATGTGGATGTGTGAACATGTGGAAAATGTTCCTTGACTTGAAAATATGACTATAGAAAATTTGATATCCATAGGAAAGGTAGCCGAAGGTGACTATTTATTTACTTGAAATCATATATAAATGTCCTAACCACTCTCGTGTCTCTCAACAATTATCATTTCTCAAAGAAACATGGAAGTGTTTGAACTTCGGTGGTTTCGTATCCGTTATTTCCTGATCCTGCTCCTGCTTTTTCAGTTTGATTGCTCATTGTCTTTCTCTTTCAATTCCTCTAGTACTCCCCCACGGCATTGCCCTCCTGACGAGAGCTTTGCCTTGCTCCAATTCAAAAATATCTTATCAGTCGATTGCTCTTCTTGTCCTGACTGCTACTATCTTGATAGCATTGGGTCTATTTATAATAGCAATATGTCTTATCCTAAGACAAGCTCTTGGAAAGCGGGTACGAATTGCTGTTTGTGGGATGGGGTTATGTGCGATACAGAAACTGGCTATGTGATTGGTCTCGACCTCAGTTGCAGCTGCCTTCGTGGAATTATTCCCTCCAACACCAGCCTTGTTCTCCTTCGCCATCTGCGCAAACTTAACCTTGCTTTTAATAATTTTAGCTCGTCTCCAATAGCATCTGTGTTTGGTCAGTTTACTACTTTGACCCATCTAAATGTTTCTAACTCAAATTTTTCGGGCATAATCCCATCTGCAATGTTCTCTCACCTGCATAAACTTGTTTCCTCTTGATCTATCAGATAATGATTTGAGATTTGAGGGCAATAGTTTTGAAAATCTTTTGGGAAACTTGACGCAAATAAGAGAACTTTTTCTTGATGCAGTCAATTTGTCTTCGGTTGCACCTACTTCTTTTCATAACTTGTCTTCTTCCATAATGGTCCTCAGCCTCGGTAATAATCACCTGCATGGAGAATTACCTGAAGGTATTTTCCGCTTTCCATACCTCCAGAAGCTCAAAATTACTAATTATTTTCCATATGGTTCGTTGGAAGTTAACTTCCCAAAAGCTAATTGGAGTAGTCCCCTCAGGTCATTAGAACTCTCATTCGTGAACTTGGCAAGAGAACTATCCCTGCTTAGTTCTATTGGTAATCTTAGGTTCCTGGAGGTATTGGATCTTTTTTCTTGCAATTTAAAAGGGTCAATTCCAGAGTCTTTTGGCAACCTTACACGACTCACTTATTTAGACCTCAGTTATAACAGTATTATTGGGCTGCTTCCATCTTCGTTTTCAAATTTTAAGCAGCTCAGATATTTAGATCTTTCTGCTAACCAACTACATGGGCAGATTGCTCGTGCTTTTGGAAACCTCACCAAACTTTTTTATTTGTCTTTAAGACGTAATCAATTTAGCGGGCAATTGCGATTTTCGGTATTTGACCTTGCAAACATTGTTTATCTCGACTTATCTGGTAACTTCCTCAGTGGCAGAATCCCACCTTGGTTGTTTACCCTTCCATCTTTGTTTGTGTTACATCTTAACGATAACAAGTTTACTGGACCCATTGACCAATTTGAGCAACCCTCTGCGTCGTTGGAGTATGTTGACTTGAAAAATAATGAGATAAATGGCCCAATTCCAAGTTCTGTCTTTGCACTTGTAAACCTTACTTATCTTGACCTTTCATCAAACATGTTGACTGGCATCTCTGAACCCAACAATCTTTCAAAGCTCAACAAACTTGAGATATTAGATCTTTCAAATAATGCCTTACTGTCATTTAAGAGTGGAAGCAAAGCCAATTACATTATGGCTCCCAATCTTTCCGTTTTGAAGTTATCTACCTGCAACATCAGTGAATTTCCATATTTTGTTGGAACTCTAGAAGGTTTGGAACACCTAGACCTTTCTTGCAACAAAATCCGTGTTATAGAGGCAGATATGTTTTCAAAGCTCAAAAATCTCAGTTGGCTTGATCTTTCACTCAATAGTCAAATATCTCTGAGCACCTCCACCGATGTCAGCCTTTTCTTTCCCAACCTTCGGTCATTGTCATGTTCTTCTTGCAACATCAGTGAATTTTCAGATTTTGTAAGAAATCTAGAAGGTTTGGAACACTAGACTCTTTGCAACAAAATCTGTTATAGAGGCAGGTATGTTTTCAAAGCTCAAAAATCTCACGTCGCTTGATCTTTCCCATAGTCAACTATCACTGAGTAACACCAACAACGTCAGCCTTTCTCTTCCCAACCTTAGGTCATTGTCATTTTCTTCTTGCAACATCAGTGAATTTTCAGATTTTGTAAGAAATCTAGAAGGTTTGGAATATCTAGATCTTTCTTACAACAGAATCAATGTTATTGAGACGTATGTTTTCAAAGCTCAAGAATCTCACGTGGCTTGATCTTTCCCACAATAGTCAACTATCACTGAGCAACACCAACAATGTCAGCCTTTTCTTCCCAACCTTAAGTCATTGTCATGTTCTTCTTGCAACATCAGTGAATTTTCAGATTTTGTAAGAAATCTAGAAGGTTTGGAAGATCTAGATCTCTCTTACAATAGAATCAATGTTATTGAGGCAGATATTGGTTTCAAAGCTCAAGAATCTCCGGTGGCTTGATCTTTCCCACAATAGTCAACTATCACTGAGCAACACCAACAATGTCAGCCTTTTCCTTCCCAACCTTGGGTCATTGTCATGTTCTTCTTGCAACATCAGTGAATTTTCAGATTTTGTAAGAAATCTAGAAGGTTTGGAAGTTCTAGATCTCTCTTACAATAGAATCAATGTTATTGAGGCAGATATGTTTTCAAAGCTCAAGAATCTCTGGCGGCTTGATCTTTCCTACAACAGTGAACTATCACTCAGCACCAATCTCAGCCTTCCTTTGCCCAGTCTTGAGACACTGCTGTTATCTTCATGCAATACAACTGAATTTCCGCATTTCTTAAGAACCCTTGAGAAATTATTTCTGTTAGATCTTTCCAACAACAGCATACATGGTAAAATTTCCATGGGGCAATCTGAGGGATGGCCTAGTTTGACATCGCTTGATCTTTCTAACAACTTTTTGAGAGACATAGAGTATTACCCATGGAAGAATTTGCAGATTCTTAACGTTCGTTCCAACCAGCTTGGAGGGTCACTTTTAGTGCCACCACCTTCAACACGTGTTTTCTTAATCTCCAAAAACAGATTGAGAGGACAGCTTCCATCTTCGATTTGCAGTTTGAACTCACTTGAAATTCTTGACTTGTCCGATAACAACTTGAGTGGAACCTTTCCCACCTGTTTGGGAGCATTCAGCGATGGTCTCAGTATCCTTGATCTGCACAGAAACAACTTTCATGGAAATATCCCTGATTCTTTTGTCAAGGGAAATGTGTTGCAGACAATTAATCTTAGCAACAATGATTTGGATGGGCCATTACCAAAATCCCTGATGAATTGCAGTATGTTAGAAGTGCTAAATGTTGGAAACAACAAAATCAATGACACCTTTCCTCATTGGTTGGGAGCTCTTCCGGAGCTAAAAGTTTTTGTGTTGCGCTCTAATAACTTCCATGGACAAATAAACAATTCCAACATTGGATCTTCGTTTCCAAACTTACGAATCTTTGACCTCTCTCGCAATGAGTTCTCTGGTTCTTTGCCAACATGTTTTGAAAGTTTTAATAGCATGATGGCTTCAGCTGATGTTGTAGTGAGATATATGGGAGATCGAAGAGCCTATTATCATGATTCTGTGGTAGTTACAATGAAAGGTGTGGACGTCAAATTTGAGAGAATTTTAACTATTTTTACAGCCATTGATTTGTCAAGCAACCTATTTGGTGGAGAAATTCCAGAAATAGTTGGGAAGCTCTCTTCTCTCCAAGTGCTTAATTTTTCCCATAACAACCTCACAGGTTATATTCCTTCAACAATGGGGAACATGACAGAACTTGAATCATTGGATCTCTCTTCAAACAAGCTTGTCGGAAAGATTCCTACTCAGTTGGCTGGTTTGAGATTTCTTGAAGTGTTAAACCTTTCACAGAATCAGCTCATCGGACCCATACCTCTGGGAAATCAATTTAATACCTTCCTCAATGATTCCTATTCCGGAAACCTGGGATTGTGCGGATTTCCATTGTCAGAGAGATGTGGCGAGACTCAGCCTGGGAGTCCTCTTTTTTATGAGGAAGCTGATTCCGAATCCGGATTTGAATGGAAAGCGGCATTGATGGGTTATGGAAGTGGACTTGTGATCGGAATATCTATCAGATATATCATTTTCACACTTGGAAAACCAAAATGGCTTGTAAAGATGGTTGGAAGAGCAGGCCACAAATTGAACAGACATTGCAGAGGACTAAGAAATTTGTAAGGATTTTTGTTGCAGTCTTTTTCATTTTGGTAGAATAAATTGTACTTCGTGCTAATGAAAGTATTATCATGTTATTGATGTTATGTGGAATTTAAAATTGAATTTCCGTCCTCTTATAGATTTTTCCTGGGAATGTTAGCTGAATTTAATAAATCAATGCAATAATTTTTTTTATATGTTTACGTATTTTTTCTTATTACATTTTAAAAAAATACGTTAGTTCAATATTCTTTATTATTTGATGAAAATAAAAATGTGATTCAGAACATGGTTTATTTTTTATTGGAAGATCAATGAAATATTTAAATAATAAGATTAAATATTTTAATGAATTTTTAATTTATCGTAAATATTTTTATTCTTTTGTTGACAATTTATATATTTTGTACTAAAGCCAAAGTAAATAATGTCAAAGAAATAGCCAAACAAAACTTATTTATTTTTGTGATACATAGGTCAAAAACTCAAAAATTAATGGTTAGAACTTGAAATTGAAATTTAGAAGTTATAACTTTGAATAATTTAGGATATCATTTGGCAATGATTTATAAGATGAGAAATGATTCTTTAATTTAAGATATCAAAGACTTGATTTTAAATCAAACATCTTTTTTTTTTTATTGTATTATGATTTTGCTTTTCTGATGTAACAAACAAAAAGAAATGATTATCTTAATCAAACTATGATCGTTTTTTTTACTCTCTTTACAAGAAACTTAAAATGATGAATCAAAAATATAGTTTTTATTTGTAATGAATCAAATCGGAGATCAATAACTAAATCATTATTTTATACAAACTTAGAAAATTCTACAAAAACACTTGTGTTACTTGCGCTTTCTATAGTGAATTGTTTCCTTCACCCAAAATTTTCTTTTTTAAAATCTCACTAATTAATTCTTTGCATAGGTAAAATCAAATAATCAAATTTGTTTTCAAGGGTCTATAGAGAGAAAACTTTTTAATTTTTAAAAGATTCTTCAAACACAATTAAATTCAGGGACAATTGTAATACCACTGATTCGGATCTCTCTTCAAACAAAGCTTGTTGGACAGATTCCTAATCAGTTGGCTGGTTTGAGATTTCTTGAAGTGTTAAACCTTTCACAAAATCAGCTTGTTGGACCCATACCTCTGGGAAATCAATTTAATACCTTCCTCAATGATTCCTATTCCGGGAACCTAGGATTGTGTGGATTTCCATTGTCAAAGATATGTGGCAAGACTGAGGCTGAGACACCTCCTTTTCATGAGGAAGCTGATTCTGAATGCGGATTTGAAAGGAAAGCGGCATTGATGGGTTATGGAAGTGGACTGGTGATGGGAATATCCATCAGATATATCATCTTCACACTTGGAAAACCAAAATGGCTTGTAAGGCTGGTTGAAGGAGCAGGCCACAAATTGAACAGGCATTTCCAAGGACGAAGAAATTTGTAAGGGTTGTTGTCGCAATCTTTTTTGTTTTGGTATAATAAATTGTACTTCGTGCTAATGAAAGTTGTATGCGTTATTGATGTTAAGTGTAATTTAAAGTTGAATTTCTATCTTTTTACAGATTTTTTCTGGGAATTTTGGTTGAATTTACTAAATCAATGCAGCAATTTTTTTTTTAATATTTTTACGTATCTTTTCTTCTTATATTTAAAAAAAAAAAAGTCATAAGTTCAATATTTTTTATTATTTAATGAAAATAAAAATGTGATTTGAACTCGGTTTATTTTTAATTAGAAGATTAATGAAATATTTTAATTAAATTTTAATTTATCAAAAATATTTTTATTCTCTTATTATGAATTTATATGTTGTGTCCCATTTGCTTTCTAAAGCATTGGATCCTGTTTTTCTTTTCTTAAAATCCAAATTTTTTACCTCTCGTATTTATTTTACTGGACCATTACCTGTGAGATATAAAAAGAATTTTAGGGCTATGATAAATCTTACAAAAAATGGAAGTACTAAGCCACACGGGGGGGTCGAGGGTAGTTTTAGAGGCTTTTATAGCTATTCCATCGGAATTGTTATAAATGGACTAGAGATTGAATTGGTGAAAATTTTTACCATGCTAACTAGCATCGACCTCTCAAATAATAAGTTTCAAAGGGATTCCAAAGGTTATTGGAAAGCTTAACTCGCTCAAGGGCTTAACCTTTCTCGTAATAACCTTAGTGGTTCTATCCCACATCAATGGGGAATTTGACTAGTCTTGAATTGCTTTCCAATCTCTGGAGATTGCAGCAACAATGCACCACCACCACAACCCCACCTTCAAACTTATTGGAAGAAGATGGCTCAAAATCAAACATTGCTTTTGGCTGGAAGGTAGTGTTGACAGGTTATGGATGTGGAGTGATATTTGGATTGGTGATGGGATATGTTGTATTTCAAACTGGTAAGCCAAAATGGGTTGTGACCCTGGTTGAAGACCAACATCATAGGAGGCGAAAAAGGTCAAGGATTGGTGATCGCAGTGGTGGGAGAAGAAGGACCTAGTCAATGCAAATGATGTTCAAGCATTTGTGTTAGCATTTTCATAATTTCTTGTTTTGCAATCTATCGGATGTTTTGCCTTGCACAGGGATGTCTTTGTTTTTGTCATTGTATTTAATAATGTCTTGTATGGTTGCAGATATTTATGTCTTCTTCCATAACTTTAGTTTCAATTTTTCTCCATATATAATCTCCGCTACTGCTCTACAGAAAAAAAGCCCAAATTGTAATAAAAAATACAAAACAATTTGCTGTTTTACTTTGCATGAGATTAGAGAGGTGAAAGGGCAGAGTTCCAACTTCTATCAACATTACCCTTTTTTTTTTGGTAAAAAAAAAAAATCAGGGGTAAATAGATTGCTCAATTATCAATGTCAGAGTAAGATGTGATGTACTTGACAATTTAAGACAGATGACTGTAAGTCATGCATTCCAGATGACCGTAACAAATGATCACCGATAAGATTCGAGTCCAAGATTTTTTCGTCAAAGAGAACGATCTTAACCGATTAAACCAACATTGTGGTTTTCCCACCTGAAAAATTATTTCTAACAAAAATATTAATGCTATTGGAAAAGGAAGCTGGAACTGAAAATTCACCAACAGAATTTATTGGTAAATGGCGTGAAAAATTTATAAGAAATGGGAAATATAGAAAGAAACTGATCATATTCTTTGCATGTATATTCACATTGTTCTCACAGTTATGCCCCTCATCTCCTCTTATTATACGCTTCAAAAGATGGTAGTTATTATTTATTTATTTATTGCAGCAAAAAGATTGAAATTTTTACCAGTAATTTCAATATCTTGATTCATCAATTAATAAGGTTAGAATTTATATTTCACCTAATCTTTACATCTTGATTCAAAAGATGGTATGTTGTATTGTTTATTTGCACTTATATACAATTGTAGCAGTAAATTTCTTTACCTTGATTCATCAATTCATATGGTTACAATTTACTCTTTACCAAATCTTTTACATGGATGAAGTTGAAATTTTCCTATATGCTTTACCATTTTTTGTGTTGATTTTAACAGCCTAAAGAATGAAGTAATGAAATGAATTAGTTTGGACATTTATATAACCCTCAGGCAACAAGACAGTGGACAAAGATTATCCTATATTACTAGTATATGTTACTAATCTGATTCCAACAAGAGACAAAAAACACAAGTTCGAGGGCAAGAACTCTTAATTCTTGATTGATTACTAGTAATGTACATGGAAGAAAAGAAGAAACTACCAACATTCTTACATCGAGTAGCTTACTCGAACAAATAAAGGGTGAAGCTGAAATTTGAAGATTCAAAAGTTGCATCAACAAAGAGTAGCATGCCTATGAAACAGAGATTCCATGACAGAGTACTTGGGTAAAGACATTGATTTTGAAAAGCAATGTCAAATGCAAGTAAGAGGATGATATAATATAGCTTTTCAGAAGAGAAGTAAAACAAGAGAAGCAAGCATCACAGTTTTCTTACCGAAAAGTTCATAACATAATTGTTGAACAAGAAGCTCAATCTTTCAGATTTTTTTTTTTGAAATACCAAATGCTTTTTCTTAGTATAGAGGGTAGATACTGGTTAGTTCTTTTTGGGAAAAAATTGTAATTCTAAATTCTATGGGGCAAGTTTTGTAATTTCTGCTTCAGTCACTTCCCACTTGTAGGCAAAATCTTTCCTTCACGAAACACAAGCCTTCTCGCAAAAACGCCCCTCTTGGAGAAATGAAGAGACCACCTTTCCATGGGAATTCTCTTCGTCCCAATGAAAACTGAAACTCCATTTCTTTTTCTTTTTTTTTTTCCACTTCCAATTTTGTTTAAACTAAGTGTAAATCTTTTTTGTTTTTGTTTTTTTTTTTTTTTTTTAGATTATTGACTTGTTGATGGAAATGGCACTTGAAACCTCAATTCTCCGCCAACCCACTTTCATTTCTTCAACAAAGTCATCATTTTTCATGCTTTTTAATCGAAATTTGAAGTACCCATCAAAGTTTTTATCCAAAACTAGTCACTACCCAACTCTTGTTATTTCAAGCGTTCCCAAATCAAGTTTTCAAAGCCTTTGGATTGCTGAAAACGGGTGCTTTTGGAAGTCAAACACGTTTGGGATTGTTAAGTGAAGAAAATGAAGATGTGGGTAATGATCAGAATTTGGTTTTGGTGAAAAGAGGAATTTTGGAGGCAATGGTTTGTGGTGTATTGGTTTTTGGTTGTAAAAGAGTGTTTGCTGTAGGAGTGGTTAATGCTGGTTATGGAGTGATTGGGCAGTCCATGTTGATGTTGAGGAATGCTTGGCCTAAGGTATCGATGGGAAATCTCAAAATTCTTGGTCTAAAAGGAAAAAGGTGAAGAAGGTAATTACCTACATTTAATCTATCTGCAATTTCTAACTCATCATGCATTTTCAGTGTAGTTTCTTTCCAATGGTTTGTCAAATTTTCAACATATGCCTTCATTGTGTTATATGCTTTCTGAATGCCTTGTCCCTTGTCTCGTTAAATTTAGCGAACCTTATGTTACTGAAGATGAGGTAAAGCTAATGTTACAAGTGGCAGAGTTGAGTGGAGCGATTGAGGAGGAGGAGCAGGTAACCATATTTATCACTTATTGCGTAAGTTCAGTAGCTATTTGCTTTTTAGTAGCTCAATTTATGGTCCCTAGAACGTAGTTCCAGCATTCAGGTTTCCCCTTTTTCTTGATCATCTCATCTTACTTTTCTCCACCAGTCAATGGGGTTCTGCAAGTGGTGGATCCCTTGTCCGTATTTGCTTTTTAGGTAGCTAATTGATGGTGCAAAGAAGCTAATTCCAACGCTCAGGTCTCCCCTTCTTCTTGGTCATCTCATCTCAATTTTCTCAACCAGTTAATACTGCAAATGTTACTTTTTTTTTCATGGAGAATTCTGCAATGTTTCAGTTTATACTCGTAAAATTTGAAGATTGCATCAGTTCATTTTTTCAAGAAAATGAAAATAATTCTTTTCCATATTTTTGGTTCCCAGTTTCCATTCGAGGCCAAATGAATTTAGTAGAACATGGTATACTAAGATTATGACCCTTTTTTTGTTCTCTTTAATTTTGGATTGAATTGAAAATTTTTTACCTCTTTTGATGTAATAAAGAAAGCAAAGTAAAGAATGTATGATTAGATCAAATGTGTCCAAATTTTCCTGTTTGCTTTTAGATTAGTTTTGATTGGCGATGCCATTTCTAGGAAGCAAGACAACGACAATTGACATGGACAGGTCTTCCACTCTTGGTTGTCCCACTCTCATCTATTCTCTAATGGAGGTAGCACTCACAATGCAAATTGGCTTCCCTATGCAGGATAAAGGGAGTGACCCTCAAAGACCCTGCAAAATTGAACTGTGAAAATAAACAAAATTAAGTATTACATTTTTTATAAAAAAAAAAAAAGTGTTACTCGTTAGGCATGTAATAGTGGAAGTTTTGTACAACACAAGCCTAGCCGTTTGCTGGTTTAAATAAACATTAGTAATATATTTTCTCTTAAGGTTATTTGTTCCATTAGCAATTTTGCTTGCTAGGAATCTTTGTTGGTGTCTAAAACCAAAGAAATGCTGAAAATATAAATGAAATTTCTTTTCCAGGAACAGTTCAAACAATCTGAAAGAAAAATCATTGAAAGCAAACTCACTTGTAAGGATGGTTGAAAGAGCAGGCCACAAATTGAACAGACATTGCAATTTTGGTTTATTTTTATCTATATTTTTCATTCAAAAAATCAAGATCCAATTGCATTTTAAAAAAAAGAAAACGTTACTGAAAATAAAATGTTTTTCGAATTTGACTTACATTTGATTGGGAGATTAATGAAATATTTTAATAATAAAGTTAAATATTTTAATTAATTTTTAATTTATCAAAAATATTTTATTCTATTATTATGAATTTTTTTAATTTTATATCATTTGCTTCTTAAAGCAAAACTAAATAAATAACGTAAAAGAAATAATTAAACAAAACTTATTTATTTTTAAATGCATAGGTAAAAACTCATTCAACTTTGCAAAAATAAAAAATAAAAATTTCATGGTTAGAATTTGAAATTGCAATTTAGAAAAGCAATATCTACAAGTAAGAGGATGAAATGATATAGCTTTTCAAAAGAGAAGTAAAACGACAGAAGCAAGCATCTCAGTTGTCTTAGTTGAAAGTTCATAACATCATTGTTGAAATAAGAAGCTCAATCTTTCAGAAATTTTTTTTTTTTTAAATAGCAAATACTTTTTCTTAGCATGGAGAGTTGACACTGTTTAGTCATTTTTGGGAGAAAATTGTAATTCAAAATTCCATAGGGGCAAATTTTGTAATTTCCGCTTCAGTCACTTCCCACTTGCAGGCAAAATCTTTCCTTCACCAAACGCAAGCTCGCAAAAACCCCCTCTTGGAGTAATGAAGAGACCACCTTTCCATCGGAATTCTCTTCATCCCAATAAAACCTGAAACTCCCTTTGTTTTTCTTTTTTTTCCCACTTCCAATTTTGTTTAAGCAAGATTCAATCCTTTTTGTTTCTTTCTTTTCTTTTTTTTTGTAGATTATTGACTTATTGATAGAAATGGCTCTTGAATCCTCAATTCTCCGCCAACCCACGTTCATTTCTTCAACAAAGTCATCATCTTTCGTGCTTTTTAATCGAAATTTGAAGTACCCATCAAAGTTTTTATCCAAAACTAATCACTACCCAACTCCTGTTATTTCAAGCTTTCCCAATCCCCAAGTTTTCAAAGCCTTTGGATTGCCAAAAACTGGTGCTTTTGGAAGTCAAACACGTTTGGGATTGTTAAGTGAAGAAAATGAAGATGTGGGTAATGATCGGAATTTGATTTTGGTGAAAAGAGGAATTTTGGTGGCAATGGTTTGTGGACTATTGGTTTTTGGTTGTAAAAGAGTGTCTGGTGTAGAAGGACTAGTTAATGCTGGTTATGGAGTGATTGGGCAGTCCATGTCGTTGTTGAGGAATGCTTGGCCTAAGGTATCTATGCTTCTTAAAGTGTTCAAGGAGCAAGGTTTGGTTTTGACAGCGCTTTTAGGTCTGTCTGCTTTCTTCTCCATGGCAGAGACTGCTATAACTACATTATGGCCTTGGAAGGTATTGATTTCTTTGACTCAGGATTGGATTGCATTTATACTCATTGAATGCGTATTTGTGGTTATTTAGTTTTGGAAAATCAGAATGCAATGATAAAGATTGTTGCAAGTTGGAATGAATGTAGATTTTTTGGTCAATTATAATGCAGTCGGTTGAATATTTTCTTTTTCGTGATTATTGTGTAAGTTTCTTTGGTGACTTAAGAGAGTAGAGAAAGGCAAGAAACTTACATAAGCCGTAAAGAATAACAACATAAATTATGTGGGCAAGCAACTTATATAAGTCATAGAGAACAACAACATAAATTATGTATCACTTCAACTGTTAAATCCTAACTCTACATATGTTCTTTAGTAAAGCATTTGGTAAAGGAATAAGACAAGTCTTCTGAAGCATAGATTGTCCTTTATTTTTTAAGTGAGAGAGGGTTGAAGTAGAAATATCTGATGCAAGTTTTCTTCATTGTGTTTTCTCTTGTTTGTTATGTTATCAAGCCTTAAAGAAATCTGTCATCCATTGTTCATTTGGTGTTAATCTGAGTCAGATACGTGAGCTGGCTGAAAAAGAGTCCGAAGATGGTGTTTTCAAAATGCTTCGTAGTGATGTAACTCGGTTTCTCACGACCATTCTTATTGGCACCACGTACTCCTCTTTTCTTGCCATCACCTTGCTATGTTCCATTTACATTTTTTTCTACTTAAGATTTATTGTAGATTTATTTCTGTACTCAGTGTGGTCAACATTGGAGCAACTGCTTTAGTCACAGATGCCGCAACAGCAATATTTGGGGAAGCTGGTGTTAGTGCGGCAACTGGAGTAATGACCGTATGTATCAATATCCTGTTCTTTGCTTTGTTTTTGGGCATGTGTGTGTGTGTGGCATGTCTGCCCATCTTTGTGTCTTTCTCATTTTGTGAATTTATGTTAAGTCAGTAAAATGATTAATCAGTTAACTTGTGGTTGGCCAACACATGAATATAGGTAAGTGAAAAGACATATATACTTCATGCAATAAAAATGCAAAACCAGTTAACGTTTCTTGAATGGTGCTAGGTTGCCATATTGCTTCTAACTGAGATCACTCCAAAGAGTATAGCCGTTCACAACCCCACAGAGGTTGCCAGTTTTGTGGTAAGTTTTTTCTTTTCTTCTGTCATCATTTGGGTCTTTAAATTTCATTACCAGCCTGGTGAGTGTTAAAACAGCATACCCTTTTTTCTTATCTTTCATTCTATATGCTTGGTGGCTCTCTTTGTGCTTTTCCAAAGTTATCAGTACTAATTCAAAATTGGCTGACTAATTGTGGTTGCAATATTTCTAGGTCAGGCCAGTTGCATGGCTTTCTGTAATACTCTATCCAGTGGGAAGAGTTGTCACATATCTATCAATGGGAATGCTCAAAACTCTTGGTCTAAAAGGAAAAAGGTGAAAAACGTAATCACCTACATTTAATCTATCTGCTACTTCTAACTCATCATACATTTTCTATGTTGTTTCTTTCCAATGGTTTGTCAAATTTTCAACATATGCCTTCACTGTGTTATATGTTTTCTGAATGCCTTGTCCCTTGTCTCATTAAATTTAGCGAACCTTATGTTACTGAAGATGAACTAAAGCTAATGTTACGAGGGGCAGAGTTGAGTGGAGCAATAGAGGAGGAGGAGCAGGTAACCATATATATCACAAATTGCATAAGTTCATATGTATACCTCTGATTGAGCATTTGATTAGCACATAATATTTTATCTGCAATGGATATTTTTCTATCTCCTTCGTTAGTATAACCCTAGATCAGTGGGTCTTCATATGCACCCAAAATGAAATTTGCTTTCTTTCTTCTCCTTTTATATGTTTGTTTGGAGGAAAATGTCAGTGACATGCCCTTTATTATCTCCATGTCTTCTTGATGGGCACAATAGATCGAAGATATCTTATTTGTTGTTGGACTAATCTGTATGGAAAACTTTGTTCTCAGTGAACATTTCAAACCATGGTGATTGATACTAAGTTATCTGCTGGATTAGCATACCAAAAGAGAAAAAGGGTGCAATTGCTGTTTCATCTATCTGTTTGTACGTGTGTGAAAGTTGCATGTAACCTACCTGCATGGAGGGAACCCCTAGGGGTTCTTGGAGAAGTTTTTGGGTGGATTAAAGAGAATATATTAAAGAAAAAGTAGCTAGCATAAACAAACAAGTTTTCTTTTTGTACATGTGTGTTTGTCAGCAGATTCCTCATGGCTTCATTAATACCAGTCTATTGCATATAGTAAGCCAGTACTTCCATGCCAAAATGAATTTTAAGAACCCTTTCTCCATTTAGACAAAGCTCACAATGATCATATTATCCCCCCAATAGCTCCAGCTTAGCTATCTGGCACAATGGCAATGTGCAGGCATGCTGCAGTCATTACTCTTTGTGGTCCATGTTTATACTTGACTACTGGCATAAATCCAAATGGATCATCAATTGGTTCCTCTTTCTTTGATTATGGTTCTTTGCTCTTATTATTGGAATCCCCTTGCAGGATATGATTGAAAATGTGTTAGAGATAAAAGATACCCATGTTAGGGAGGTGATGACACCTCTTGTCGATGTAGTTGCAATTGATGCAAGCTCAACACTTGTTAATTTCCACAATTTGTGGTTGACTCATCAATATTCAAGGTAGATTATCTCAGTACTTCATCTCTTAGGTTCTTTCTAACATAAAATAACATGCTAAGATATTTGTTGACATTTTTGCAGGGTACCTGTTTTTGAGCAGCGTGTTGACAATATAGTGGGTATTGCATATGCTATGGATCTACTAGATTATGTTCCAAAGGTCAGAAAATTTCTAATCTTTTTTTTTTTCCTCATCATCCATAAGACTTTGCTTATTAATGTATGCAACAATATCATAGTGTGCAGAATTATGATCTGTTTGATTTTGAAGGGTGAACTACTAGAAAGTATTACTGTGGGAGATATGGCTCACAAACCTGCATACTTTGTGCCTGGTAATTTTCTAGCTTACTTTCTTCTGTTGATTATGTGCTTTGAGATAATGTGAGTTGAATTTTACCTTGATATCTTGGTATATTAGGCCAATTGTCGCTGATACTTCAGTTTATTAGTTATTACCATTCATTAACATGTTTTGTCCGCATTTCACTATAGATTATACTCTGAGAAGGTACTACAAATAGAGTTGCCAATTTTTTTTTCAGATTCAATGTCAGTCTGGAATCTTCTTAGAGAGTTTCGCATCAGGAAGGTTCACATGGCTGTTGTTCTTAATGAATATGGTGGAACTGTTGGAGTACGTGCTACACTTAAAATTCTGATTTGATTTTGAATTTAGATTTGTACTCTTGAATGATTCTTACCTTTTGAAGAACCTCAAAGTAAGATGGATTTTTATTAGAAATGCACTTTTCACTGATTAAGGTGTTATGTAGAAGTGCCTCCTTAGCATAGCTAGTAGCATGTTTGTATGCCCATGCCCACTTAAAATAGCATCATTGATTTTTATGGCATAACTTTAACCGATTTTATATGCAACATGAATATGAGATTGAACATGGAAAAGTTTTACCTGCAGTTGAAAAGTTGAATGAGCTGTCAAGTGTTCCAAAATCCCTTTATCTCTTGTTAAAAATTAGTTGAGAGTGGATTCTCAATATGCTCAAATCTTAGCAAACCCCATCAGGCAACAACTAATATACATTTATAACCCCACCTGCTCTCTTTTGGATTACCTACTATATATTCTTTTATCTCATTTTTTATGCTGGAACAGATAGTCACCTTAGAAGATGCAGTTGAGGAGATTGTTGGTGAGATTTTCGATGAAAATGATTCAAAAGTAAGATTGCTACATCTTTGATGACTTTATCAGTGACTTAGTTCTTCTGCTACAGACTTTAAATCCTAATTATTTTGAATGCTACTTCTATTATTCCGCAATAGTGGGATGCTAGTGAAACTTGTTGAACAAGTACAAAATGAGTTAATATAATTGATCTGCTTAAAATTATATGCTCAATTATTCAGTTTGCTTGTTCTTATATTTATTGTTAAATCTCTTCTTGATTTTGGGTTTTTGATCATCGCTTAAGTATATTACCTTGGCATGTCTTCACTTTCACAAGATTTGGAGACTGAATGAGGACAAAGTAATTCTATTTCATGACTATGCTATCAATACATATGTGGACCTTAATAGCTTGTGAACTTTATTTTCAAGGTTCTGTGGTCTTAAAAACCTTAATAGCTTGTGAAGTTTGTTTTCAAGGTTTTGTGGTCTTAAATACTTTCATTCTTTCCTGCCATGACAGGAGGAGATCCAGAAGAAAACTGGCTACATTGTAATGCGAGCAGAGGGAATCTTTGATGTTGATGCTAATACATCTATTGATCAACTTTCTGAAGATCTAAATATCAAAATGCCAGAGGTATGTTACTTTTATTACTCATTATTATTGATATAAATCCTCATGCATAAGTTTTCATTCTACTTGCAAGTTTCTGCCAGTATGGTTGAAATGTTCATGAATATGCATTCAGATGTTAAAATAGAGGGTCTTCTGTTAATACCAGAGGAAAAGGAACTATTAATTGGAACTCCCCTCCCAGTATGAAGAACTGGGTCCACATATATAAACTGTCTGTCAATTATACAGGAATTCTCAACATTTATTTTCTTATTGCTGTTTTATAGGAACATCAATACGAGACAGTGTCAGGTTTTGTCTGTGAGGCATTTGGATATATTCCAAGGACTGGTGAGAGTATTAAGGTAGTCCTTGAAAAGGAAAATGAAGAAGATGATGAGAATTCCGAAGCTGGATCTGATCGCCAAGATCTGAAGGAAAGGCATCAAAATTATAAACTTGAGGTATGGTTGAACCTTTGTGCCATATTCATTTATATTGCATAACATTGCTTTTGAATAATGTAACAATTATCTGAGTACATTTTGATGTCATTGTTTATAAATGTTCCTCAAAGGACTGTAGTTGGGTACATACAGAATGAACGCATTTAGAATTTATGGCATCTTGATTATGGATAAATTAGAATCTCAGAACCAAGACACAACAGTTGCAATGTCAAAGCTTTAGTCATTGAAATTATAATGAACTTTTGTCACTATGATATTATCCTTATAAATCAGTTTCTTCTACCTTAATTGTGAAAGTGAAGTGATCCATCTCCTTTCTTTAGCCAAATCACTCAAATATTGATATTCTTCTGAGATATTATGAGACTGATCATCATACTAAATCATGATGAAAGCGAAGAAAATGGTCATTAAACATATCTTACATAGAAGATTAAGCACTGGATGAAATTCAGTAAAACCATTTAGGAAGGGAACGCTGATAAGCACACATCATGTTATCCCTTCTTCATGTAACTTTTCGAATTACTGCTGCTGCACATTACAGCCAATTGATGGCTGTTTTTTACAATGAAAGTGTTCCTTGCATTCCTATTTTCTTTTGCAAAGGCTAACTTAGTTTATTACATAAAGGCAGCTTTTCTGTATGAGACTCTTAGTTTTCTTATGATTCCAAATCTTAATATATCTTCCTGCAAATATTTCATCAATCTGACAAACATATTGGCCAAATGAGGCCAAACCTTGATCAGATATATCACTAATACATTAATATGGGCAACTTGTCTTTGTGAAGATATTAGCAGGAAATGCCCGAAAAGTTAGTGCCATTCGATTTGAACGGATAAACAATGGGGAAGCACTATTAGATGCCACAGCAATAACTCCGATGATTCCAAAAATCATGAAGAGGAAATGGACCAGTGATGAAGAATCAAATAACGGTAACCATGATGAAGATACATTTGAAAAGAGGCAAGAGGATGACATCTCAGATGACTATGTAATTGCAGATTATAAAGAGGATAAAGAGAGTCCCAATGGACAGTAGCTATATTACACTATTTGTTTTTTCTCTTTTCCCCTCAACACTCCTTTTTTCCCTCCAAATTTCTTACAGCTCCATAAGAAGAGGTAAAGACTTGAAAAACGGGAGAAAGAAACAAAAATATGAGATAGACTAACATTGTACAATTTTTCACAGATGAAGTGAAGTGTCAACATCTGAATCATTAAGGATAGATGTATGCATGACAGTATCTCTCGGTCGTGAATTTGACAAAATTGGAGTCTCAATAACTTGATGCTGGGTATGCATGCTCTGCATTCTAGATTCACTGTAGAGATATCTTTGGAGAGGAGCTCTAGGCTGAAGGATGAAGGATGAATGGAAAAACGATTGGGATGCTTCATGAGGTATGGCTGGATTGATCCACTCTGCATCGGAGAGCAGCCCCTAAAACCTCTCTCTGCTGCCTCATTTCCTTCACTCTCTGCTGCTGTCTGAACCTCTCTTGCAAGAGGGCAATGGATGAATGAACTGCTGGGTCACTCTGCCTTCCCATCAGCAAAATGAATTGGAGCCTGTCAATGGTACTGGGGAGAATGCTCTATATGGCGGTTTGATGTTGCTATATTCCTATTTATAGGACATTGGTAAGTTTTGAAATCATTAATCTATTTGATGTAAGGCCTTTAATTGATTATCGATGATGTAGAAGGAAAAGGTAGAATCGGCCGCTGGGATGAAGAGTCCAAGAAGGCAGAGTTATGTGGCAATGTTTTGAGGTAAAAGTACATGATAGGAAGAAAAGGGTAGCAAAAAAAATCCAAAATTGAGGTGGAATGTAGCATTTGGAAGGTTTTCTTTTTGCAGAATAAAAGGATGGTTGATGCACTGTTGGCTTGTTGCCAAGAGCTATTGGCCTTTGGAGAAGATGGTGCCCCATTTTGTTGGGGGATTTGGTGGGATCTTATATTATTCACCTATCAACATTCTCTTCTCACTTCTGTTGAGAGAGCAAAAAAAAAAGTTGAGATTGAGGATGTCGTAGCAGGACAAGAGTTGGAACATAGAATAGAGTCTGAACTTTGAGGTTGATGTTTGTATCTATGGAACCCTTTTATGGAGAAAAGAGAAGTCTCCTTCTCTTTCCATTTTCTGTTTTGTCTGGAAGTTGTTGGATAGATATGGCATGGAAGGAGAAAGCTATAGATATTGGATTCTTTTAGTGGCTCTTCTTGTTGGAATACTCATAGTCTTTGAACTTAATTGTTGGAAGAGCGGGCACAGGCTCAAAAGCAGCCTACCCAACTCTAGATATTTCATCGACTTTGCTTTAGCCATGCAAAATCACTGAAAAAGGAGATGAGTGGTGCAACTTTTTTGAGCTTTCTCTTGTCTGAGACCTCAACTATCTGTGGTCATAGTGTTGGCAAACACTACACAGTAAAAATGCATGTCAAACGGGTGAAACATATTTTATATTGGTTAGATATAGAGAACCAATTCTTGTCATTCTGTTAACAAAATCATGGCCAATGCAAAGATATTGCAGAAAAGCAAGGCTTCAAATTGTTTATTTCAATGGTGATTAAACCAACTAAAGCAGGCTGTTTCATAATCCCAAAGCGGGGAATTATTAGCTTAAGCTGCAAATTAATTGCCCAAAAATCAAGTTTCCATTTTGGAGTTCTAACTAGAAATCCAAGACTAAAGGTTGTTGGGCGAAAAGCTTTCAGCAGCTACAGATCCAGTTTCTATTGGACAAAGGCCTGCAAATTTTCAACTTTTAAGTCCAATCTAGGCCCATATCTTTGGGCACCCTAGCCATAAAGATTACCGACTAACTCCATTGGTTCTTTAGTTTTCATTCCTTCTGCTACTTTTTAGTAGGGAAAAATTATGTAGTTTTTTTTTTTTTTCAAAAAAATTTTTTTTTTAAGATGAAAAAAGAAGGCATCGGCACAAATTTCTAACAAATTATAAATCACAAAAAATGTTAGGCATGGAAACATTTAATTTCTTACACTTAAATATCAAATTCAATGATAAATGCATGTATTTTCTGACTGAAAATTCGGACTCTAAATCCTCTACTCCCGAAATCTTAAAGCTTTAACACGAAGGCAAAGGCAGAAAGGAATGTTGTTGCAGTGAGGTTAGCCATGACTGCATCACCAGAAATTATCAGTTACTGTTTTTTATTTTCGTTTGATCTTAATTGATCAAGCAAAGTTATTGAAATTAATTATGTGATTGTTGGAATTTTATGAAATGTCAGTTTGATTCAATGGATGTTTGTTGCAAGGCAATTTCACTATATATTTTTTTATTCATGCTAATGAGGTGTAAAAGTCTTATTAAGAAACTAACCTATACAGATTTATATTCACATCTTAAATTTCAAATTAAATTTATGAACTTTTTAATGATGTGAAATTTGTTAGAAATATATGGAGTCCAGCCCCATTGCTTTAATCAATCAAAGGTCATAGGCTTTTTTACTTTGAATCTAAAATAAAGCCTTAAACAATAAAAGAGAGAGGTTGTGTTTTAAGATGTAAAAGAGTGACATGGCAAACCGAAAAAAAAAAAAGAGTAGTAAAAAAAGATAGAGTTGATTGAATGGAAGTCAATTTGTAGTTTGATTGAGTTGAAATTTTATCAGTAAATTTATGATTCAATGTTCTACATTTTAAATAGTAAAAATCGAATTTGAACTTTCAAAAGATAAATTTACGGTGTATTTGTTGAGTCACCTATTTTATGAGATTTTTTTAATTGATTCTCTAGTTGTTAATTAACTCTAGTTTTAACTAGAAAAAAATTTTGTATACTCATTATTTGATGGTAGTGATTTTTTTTATGGTCCATGATTTTTGCTCTACACTGGAAGGTTTTTCATATAAATTTTGATGTGCTTTTTTTTTTTTTATATTTTGAATTATTGATTGTTATCTATTGTTGTAAATTTATTGCAATATGTCACTTCTATGTTGATGTGTTTATTACTTTGTGTTCAACAAAATCATTTATATTTTTGTTTACAGTCCAAATGTTGAATGTTCAATTTATATGACCTACATGCAAGTTATTCAATATTCAATAAATATCTTTTAATTTTACTTAAAAAATAATAATGATTTAATGAATGGTATGAGTTAAAAAAATACTTATTAATCAAATAAAAAAGGGAGTTCTTTTGTTGATAACTTACATTGATGGAATGTGAGAATAAAAGTTATTAAATAATAAGAGTTTGTTTATGAATGAATTCCAATTAAAAATGCTCCTTTTGCTTATAAAATGGTACTTTATCTCTATTAACAAGTACGTGAAGAGAAAATAGGTCAAGAAAGAGAAACAGAAAAAATATATATAAAATATTTTTTAAAAGAAAATTATAATGGATCAAAATATGACTTTTCTTTAATTAGTAAATTATGAAAATTATCTTGTTTTAAAACTTTAAATATTAAGATTATGCAAAATTAAGATTAGATTTGCATAATAAAAAAAATTTAACATTGAATTCCACTTCTAATGCGCAATCACTCATTGTATTTCAATGATCTTTTGATTAATATTTTGCAAACATGTAAATTGATGAAAATACATAGCAAAGAAAACCAAATGTCAAGGGGTTCCTAATTGACTACTTGAAAATAAAATCAGTACATCCTAATTGATTAATTAAAAATAAAATCATTACTTGTGCATTTTGCGGAATCAAAACCAGTATATATTGACAAAACTAGTATATACTGAATGAAAAGGAAAAGTAAAGACAAGAAAAAGATTATCAGCGGCCACGTTATCTATCATGTAAGATCATTGCATCACTAAAAAATTTTAATAATTTTTAATTTAATCCTAATTAATCATGCAAAGTAATTGTTCAAATTATGTGAATGTTGAAATTTCATGAAATATCTTTTTAATTCAATGGATATGTTTTGGAAGGCAATTTAACAGTTGATAATCCTACTAATAATGTGTAAAGACTAAGAACAAATTAACTAAACTTGAAAAATTTATAATCACAGGTCAAATTTCGAATAAAAATGAATTAGTTTACCATTTTCAAATATCAAATTAATTTTCATGATTTTTTTGACTTTTACACGTAAAATTGAGTGCTAAAGGTTCTTACTTATGGTCCACATGTTGAATTCCACTTCTAAGAGCTAACCCATTCAGTTTATTTGAATGCTCTTTTGATTAATATTTTGCGCACATGTAAATTGATGGAAATACATAGCAGAGAAAAGTAAGCATCATTCGTACAACCTAATTGACTAATTAAAAATAAAATCACCACTCGTATATTTCATGGAATTAAAGTTAGTATATACTCATTGAAAAGGAAAGGCAAAAACAAGAAAAACGTTGTTGCATGGCGGTCATGCTATCTACCATGCAAAGTAATTGCTCAAATTATGTGGTCGTTGGGATTTCATGATTGAATGTCTTTTTCATTCGATGGATCTGTTTTTGGAAGGCAACTGATGATAGTCCTACCAATTATGAGTAAAGACTAAGAAAAAATTAAGTAAACTTGAAAATTTTATGATCACATGTGAATTTTCAAATAAAATGAATTATTTTACTATTTTCAAATATTAAATTCATTTTAATGATATTTTTAACTTTTTCATGTATAATTAAGTGCTAAAGGTTTTTGGCTAAATTCATAAAATTGAAATAAATATAACAATTCATGCATTTTTATTTTATCTGTTTGTGTTAAATATATATATAAAATATGAAAATTATTATATCATATTTCGTGTTAATATATACGTCATAACGTCTTGATCCGGAGATCTATCGCTAGATATTGACTTGATGGAGTCGCCACCAATCTTTTTTATTTAGGTGCGATTGGCCACCTAAGGAATCTATCCTTTCAGGGAACACCTAAGTTTAAGGGTCCTTAAAAAGAATAGGTTCGGGTCTACTAACCAGAATAGGATTCGGGAGTTCGATTACATGTGAGGAAGGTTATAGCCCCCTCACAACGCCCATCAAAAGATGGTATCAACTTAAATTTATGTTATCCAATGAGCCTTAAAAATTTACCTAGTGATTAATTATTGAAAATTATTCTCAATTGACTCTAATACTTTTAGCAGAAAATTGAGAAAATTTTCTCACCTCAGGAGTATGCAAAAAAAACTACTGTTTCACCTGCAGAGGCTCCATCGTCGGATTATTTAATATTAAAAAAAAATAAAAAGGAAGAAAAAATGATTGTTTTTGTGCAGGAAAAATTGACACTTTTAACTTTTTTTCAAAATATTTTTTAGAAATTTTAATCTCGAGGAAAATTGATACTTTCAACTTTTTCCCAAAATATCTTTTTAAACTTTAATTTCGAGGAAAATTGATACTTTCAATTTTTTCTCAAAAATATTTTTTGGAAACCTTAATTTCGAGGAAAATTGATACTTTCAACTTTTCCTCAAAAACAATTTTAAAAATTTATTTTTAAGAAAAATTAATACTTTCAATTTTTCCTCAAAAACCGTTTTAAAAATTTATTTTTAAGGAAAATTGATACTTTTCAACTTTTCCTCAAAAATTTTTTTTTTGAAAATTTATTTTTAAGGAAAATTGATACTTTCAACTTTTCCTCAAAATTTTTTTTTGGAAACCTTAATTTCGAGAAAAATTGATACTTTCAACTTTTCCTCAAAAACTTTTTTTTTGAAAATTTATTTTTAAGAAAAATTGATACTTTCAACTTTTTCTCAAAAATATTTTTTGGAAACCTTAATCTCGAGAAAAATTGATACTTTCAACTTTTCCCCAAAAATTTTTTTTTTGGATTTTATTTAAAGAAAATAAAATAATAAAACAAAATAAAAGTGAAAATAAAAAAATAAAATAAAAAAAATAAAGAAAAGTAAAACAAAAATAAAAATAAAATAAAGATAAAAGAATATTAAATAAACCTAATCTAATAATAAATAAATAAATAAATATAAAATAAATATATAAAAAAAACTTGGAACGGCTCGGCTAACGACTCGGCTCGGCTCGGCTTAAGGAAGAAAAACGGCTCGGAGAACGTGGCTCGGGATGTCGGCTTGGCTAACGGCTCGGGAAAGCAAATCATACACGGGTCAAAAGCGGATCGACACTCGGGTCTGGTCGGATCTTAGCAAAACGCGCGGATCCTCTAGGTTACTTAACGCAAAAATGACGTCATTTTTAGAGGGTATATAAGGCTGATTCCTTTATTTTTTCAGCAAACTGAGCCTCCTCCCTCTCTCTCTTCCTTCCTCTTCTCCTCTTTCTCTTTAGAACACCCGAAGAACTTCGGTTGAATATTCATCGGATTCTAGAAATTTTCGTCGAAATCTAGGTTTTTCACCGGAAGTTCGTCAAAAAACTGATCAGTTTTTGGAAATATTGTCAAAAATTAGAAAGTTGGCCGAAAACTTCAAACTTCAAACTTAGCCGAAATTATTGTCGAAAAATTCAACGTTCACCGAAAAATTTACCTGAATCTGGAAATTTTCCAAAAATTTCAGAAAAAAATTTCGTAAAAAAATCTCCAAAAAAATTTCCTCGATTCCTAAAGCTATTCTAACGCCTCTAAACCCTTTTTAGCCTTCAAATCTTTTCTGTATGCCTTTTTCTCTCAACCAGTAGCTGTTTTTCTCTTCTTTTTCTGTGTGTTTCCTTTGATTCTGAGGATCCTTTTATAGGGATTGATCAGAAGAGTTTCTGATCAATCCCAACTCTTTTTTGGATCGAGATTCAATCATTGAATCCAATATGGACTATTCTGATTGAATCCCATCCAATTTTCAGTCGAATAAATCACAAAAATCAAATAAAAATATTAATGAAAATAAATCAGATAAATCAAAAAATTAACAGATAAATTATAACATATAATCTGATAAATATACATATAAATATTAACAAAAAAAGAAAAAAATAATAATAAGGATATATATATATATATTAATAAATACATAAGATAAAAATAAAAGAAAAATATACATAAAAACAATAATAAAAATAAAATAAAATAAAAATAAAATAAAAATGTAAAAATACAAAAATAAAAAAAATAGACTTACCTATTTGGACCAGGCCTAACTGATCCAGGCCTGGACCAAAATTGGGTGTCCTACAGCTGCCCCGTCTTTGGCACTTTTCCTGTGAACAAAAATTTGTGCAAAGACGTAAAACACACATCAAGACTCACTTGACATTTTTTTTTTTTAGATTTGATCAAAAACTCCTCTAAGCAGAGGCTTAAACGACTTTGGAAGAAATAAAATGGCTCCTCTAATCCAGAGGCTCGACGACTTTGGAAAGTAAATTGGCTCCTCTAACAGAGGCACCACGACTTTGAAAAGTAAATTGGCTCCTCCTAAACAGGAGGCCCACGACTTAAAAAAGTAAATTGGCTTCCCTCTAAACAGAGGCACCACGACTTAGAAAGTAACGCCCTTTGAAACATGAGGCACCGACGACTTTGAAAAGTAAATTACTCCTCTAAACCAGAAGGCCACCACGACTTTGAAAAAGTAAATTGCCTCCTTGACAATCATGTCCAAAGGAGTTGAAAATTGTGTTTGAAGGAAATTTCAGGAGATTATGTCGCAAAGGGTCTTACAAATAATCCTGATACCAAAAGACATCTATTTCCAGGATTAGGAACTTACTGACAAGTTTCTTCTCAATTGTAAAATATCTTCATATCTGGTTTCTCTATGTGGGATTTTTGAAACACCCCTTGCTTTTGAATTTTATACACATACTTTCTTGAAGTAGTATATGCTATGCATCATATGAATTTCAATGCATGCTATACAAATGTTGGCCAATTAATTCCTATTCAATGTATGGCACTCAAGTTTCTCAAGCTCTTTTCTTGGGCATCAAACCCTTTGATTCTTTAAAAATCAGATTACGCTGCTTTTTTGAGATCGAACCAGTG